TCTTCCAGAATGTCCACTCTGACCATAACCATGTAGCCACAATAAAATAGAGTTTCTGAGCTCAACATTCTCTGATACCACAATCTTATATTTTCTGCGTAATATGTTCTGAACCCACAAATAGTGTTTCTTCACATCATGTATCTTCTTCAACTATGCAATAGATTTTCAAGTAAAATCATCCTTCTCAACCCCTATTGAATTTGCTTCAAAAGATCACATTCTAGCACAGTCACAGCCATGTGAAGTATCTTAGATCCTTTCATTCTTGATAACGCATCAGCCACAACAATATCCTTCCCTTGCATATACTGTTTTGGTAATCAAATTCCAAATTTTAGGCAACCATTTCTGAATAGGAGTGTTTAGCTGTTGCTCCAACAGGTACTTTAGACTCCTTTGACCAGTATTGATTACAAAATAGATTTTCAGAAGGTAGTGCGTCCATTTTTGCACTGTAAAGATCACTGCTAGAACCTCCTTCTCATAGATTGATAGACTCATACTTTTCCCTTTCAAATGTGTACTGTTGTAGGCTAATGGATGCCCCTCTTGCTTCAGTACTGCTCCAATACATTGGCTGCAAGCATCAGTTTCCACTACAAAAGGTTTATCAAACCATGGTAAATCAAAAACTGGAGCTGTGCACAGAGCTGTTTTAAGACTTTCAAAGGAATCTTGAGCCTCCTCAACATATTCAAAAGCATCTTTCTTTGTCAAAGGGGTTAGGGGACGTGTAGTTATGCCAAAGTGTTGCAAAACCGTTAGTAATACCCTGCTAAACCCAAGAATCCTTTCAACTTCTTCAGACTCGTAGGTACAAGCCAATCAGCAACTGCCTTAATCTTGTAGGATTCGTAGATACCATTCTTCATGTATAAGTGACCCAAGTACTCTACCTTCGACGTTGCAAATGCACACTTATTTTGCTTAGCATACATCTGGTTTGTTCTCATTAGCTCAAAAAACTCTCCGGATATGCATCTCATATGCTCCATTAACGATGAGATATCGCTGAAGAATATAAGAACAAACATTCTGAGACATTCCTTGAATACATCATTCTTTCTCAGACATTCCTTGAACACATCATTTATCAATCCTTGGAATGTAGTAGGGGCTTTGGTTAGATCAAATATCATAAGCATTATTCTCTTTATTATCCAATCAACATTTATGAGAAAAGATTTTACAGGATGCTAATTCTCTCCAAATGTTCTTTGTTTAATGTTGCTCTCATGTGAAAGTTTTTGGTAGAGCATTTGTAGTTAGAATATATAAAACTTAAAAATAACTTTTTATAATTAATTTATTTTTGTTTAATAATATAAAAAATATTTTTATAATCAATTTTTCTTTTCAAAACAAATAATTAGGATTAAAATTTTATAACTTAAAAAACAATATTTCACAATTAGAATATAATTACACATATCATTCATTATTTTTAATAATAAAACATAACCTAATATATATTTATATACTATAGATATAAGCATATTTATATTATGTCTAAATAAATGAAGTATATCATATATTAATTTGTATGATAATTTTATATATGAATCATTTATTTCTCTACCAATAATCAAATAATGATAATTTATATATAATATATTTTATTTAATAATATTAAAAATTATGTTTATATCCAAAAATTCATTTTACATTTTTTGAATAATAATATTTCACACATAAAATATAAATTAATTTATATAATTGAATAAGATTCATTATTTTTAATAACAAATATATTAATAATATATAGTATATAAATATATTATTTTAAAATAAATATACTATATACTAATTTTGTGATAATTTTAAAATTATATACTGCTACAGCTTTTCCTATCACTTTATCAAAAAATTTAATGAGAGCATACAACTTCTGCAGCATACTGCTACTACTTTATCATTAGTTGTACCAATCGAGGCCTAAGTATTCACAGCGACCACTGTGTGTCTTGAAAGTTGTCTTATGAATATCTTCTTTAGCCATTCGAACCTGATGGTAACCAGCCCTCAAATCTATCTTGGAATAGATAGTAGAATGACCCAACTCGTCCATTAGATAGTCTATAAGTGGTATAGGGAAACGATCTTTCATTGTCATCTTATTCAACTTTCGATAATCTACACATAACCTCCATGTGTTATCTTTCTACTTAACTAACACAACAGGTGATTCCTATGGACTAGAGCTAGGCTGTACTGTACCTGCATCCAATAACTCTTTAACCATCTTGTCAATCTCATTCTTTTGGTACACTGCATACCTAGAAGGTCTTTGATTCACCGGATTTGACCCTCTATTAACATAATCTCGTGGTTATGTTTGTTTCTCCACAGAAGTAAGGTCTTTGGTTCTTCAAAATCTCTGCAAACTCTTCAATCCACCCTTCCATCATCTCATAACCTTCTTTCTCAACTCCCATCACTTTCAGTTCCATCAACTCTTCTTCAATATACTCATAAGCACAAATCATGTGCATCTGTGCTTTGTTTTCCATTATCTTATCCAGTGTCTTGGACTTGATTTCTCTCACTGAACCACTTTTGATTCCATTAAGTAAGACTTTGTCTTGTTCCCACTTATAATGCATCTCTAGCTTCTCAAAGTCCTAGTTTATTGGTCCCAATTTTGCCATCTATTACACTCCTAACACCACATCATGACTGCCCAATGGTATTACCATGAAGTCAGATACAAACTGGTGACCCTGAAACTGCCACTTGAAACCTTCAATTTTGCCACATACTTCTATTTTATTTGCATCTTCCACTGCTACTTTTGTTCAACGTGCTTCTTTCATTCTGCACTCCAATAACTCTGAAACTTTCTTATCAATAAAATTGTGAGTAGACTCTGAATCTATCAAGACATACAATGTTCTTTTACCATGAAAACCTCTGATTTTCATTATTGTATACTCTATAATGCCAGCAATCGCATTGATAAAAATATGAGCCTGTTCTTCACTCTTTAACTCATCATCCCTCTTCTCATACTCCAAAGCCTCATGATACACTTCCTCTTCTTCACACTCCCTTAGAAACAATTGTGACGTTTTATGTTTCAAATAATGGTCTGGTGTGAAGTTCTCATCACAATGGTAACATAATCGTTTCGCTCTTCTTTCACTCATCTCAGCCTGATACGGAAATGGTTTCATTCTACCATTCCATTCTCTTTGTTTTGTATTCTCTTCTTTGTTTTTTGACCAATCATCACTTCTCACTAGATTGCTTCCTCTCTGCTGAGTAGTCTGCAGCTGAGGTTTTTGTTGAATCTAATTACTCCTCATCTCTTTACGAGGATGAGCCGTCTCATAGAGTCTCCCCAATATTAAGCATTCACGCGTTGTTTGAGGATGAAACATTCTCACATGCATCTGTATATCCAATTGCAAGCCAGCCAAGAGTGCACTCAACAAGTACTCTTATCACATATCTAACCTTGATATAACCAATTTAAACTTTGCATGATATTCAGTAATTCCTTTGTTTTTTTCAGCTCTTTAAGCTCAGCAATCGGATCGTCTGAAACTTCCTCAAATGTTTCTTTGAGTTTGTTTCTCACCAAAGCTCATTCATCCTCATGTACCAAAGCTTGATGCCACATTGAAGCTTCACCCTCAAAATGCAACGATGCAATACTGACTTTTGATTCTTCCAGTGTATTTTCAATCATAAAGAATTGTTCGGCCTTTGGAAACCACTCCTTGATCTTAAATCTAAGGAAATAATTCTTTGTATGTCTTATCATACCAGTGTATTTATGATGATGATGACCTTGTTGTTCTACACTATTGATCTCATTCTTCCGCAACTCCATGACCTCCGTCACGATCCGAAAGGATACCATGAGTCGAAGCGTTCATCGGATTCTGATTTGACATCATTTTGAATGATTCGATCATTTCATGAACTCTCTCACTCATCTGCATCGTCTTCTCACTCAGAATCTCCAGTGCTTTCTCAATCGCTTTGAAACTCGTTGTCACTGCTCCGCTTAATGCCGCCTGAGATCTCGACTCCACCATAGATTCCGATCAACTTTGCCACTAACTCCGAGGATGAGTGGCTCTGATACTACTTTTAAAGATAAATGTAGTCATCGTTAAGAATCGACTCAACATTCTTAAAACACCAAGTTGTAGCTCAAATTGCAGAAGAACACGGATTTAGAAGGCTCTTCTCACAAGAATGAACTCAAGATTATCGTATAGAATTACAAAATTAAGAGAAAAAAGTTCACAATAGTTCTTCTGGATGAATCTACAAAAGAAAGAGACTTGTATAAAACTAACATTTCTCCGTTGATGCCATGTGTCTTCTTCTTATTTGTCTCACTTCTAACCGCCTTATCGCATAACAAACTTCTCAACAAACTCCAACCAGCCACTATCCTTCTTCCATATGACACTGTTTCTCGTTCCTCTATTTCATGTAACAATTGGTTTGGATTCACAGATTTGTTGTATGGCTTTGGTTTTTGGACTTAATTGTTTTTTATAAGTTGTTATTTGTAGTAGAGAGGTGTATTCAGGGGCGAAGCCAGGATATATATTCAATGGGTGCACTATTAGGGATAAAATAGGAAATAGTTAAAAGGAAGGCTTGAACTTAAGTTGTTAAGGGTGCACAATACAGATTTTCTACATGTTCTAACAGAATTATTATGTTTTTTTACATTAAAATTACAAGATAAAATAAATTTTAGGGGTGCACAAGACCTCATAAATGCTTCGCCCCAGGGTGTATTGGTCTTAGTTTTTTTATATATTTATTTTTATAGATACCATATCACAAATGTCATGTATTTCCAACGTTTTTGGTTGGTTATATATTTATAACATCAATACTAAAAACAAACATGCCGAGAACCCGAGTGGAAGCGCATCTCATAATGTCTTATATTATGGAGCTGACTCTCGTTGAAACTTCTTCTATTCAATATGAAAATAACAATTGTTTGTTTTGTTCAACAAATATAGGTTCCTTATGCCACGACCGTGTTAGTACCCGGAGTCATGTTCGTAATGCCATCTGTAAGATATTTTATAGCTAAACACCATTGTTCTCTACTACAATAATACTTAATATAACTCGAGTTTGGTTATAGGTTTGTGGTATTACCTCAAGACAAGTTGGATCCGCTGAACAGGTAAGACTGAAAAAGTTGTAGATTCTGTAAACCTTCTAATGTTAATAATCTAACTTTCAAAGAGCTAGTGAGGTCTTGGTTAGTACGGATTTAAGATATGTTGTCTAAATTGTTTGACATTTAACATGTCAACCAAATCAGATTGATTTCAACTAATTCATTCTTTTCCGCACGTACATGGAATAATCTGATGGTAAACATGAGTCTGCTGCTTAATTTCGATCTGATCCTTCTACTATGGTTATATTTTTACTTTACTTTTAGCTTTCGCTCCATTAATAGATAAACCTTTATTTTTGCCCCGGCATTTACATCTCAACAGTGGTTTTACGACTACTTCTAGTAACATCCCTAACCCAGACCCTAAGTTCTTTTTTATTTAAAAGGGGGAAACCATTTTTTAAGGCTGTGCTTGGTATCAACTTTTGGCTTTAGATTTTTAGAGTTGTAAGAGACTTTAAGAACTGTTACTATCAAAAAAAAAGTCATGTTTTCTAAGCTTTAGAAAAAGAACTTAAATGAATGAGCATAAGTAGTTAAAAATGGCTTTGAATGTTTTTAGGAGACTAGAGGGCTTTTAAACTAATAAAGTCTGATTAGACTTAATTTGACTTCGAAGACTTCAGAAAATCTTGTAAAACCTCCACAGCTCTTAAAGCATATTTACTAATCGGTGCCTAAGATTATGATATACCTAGAGTCCTCCTTTCTTTTCTGCATAAAAAGTGGGGCGTCCTTGTTTATTTTTCATCAGAGAAAACCAGTAGAGATCTCGAGCCGTTGAACCATCAAGAGCCAAACCTTAGCTGCCATCAGTCGCCACTGTTGGTGTCTCCGATCCGCCACCGCCGGCCAGCCTGTCCAGTCTCTTTTGTCATTGTCTTTCATACAGTATTTTGAAAACCGATCTAGACCCCCGGTTGAACCGGTAAACCCGGCCACCAAAAACAAATCCGGTGTAGATTCTGAATTTTGAATAAAAAATCATTATTTAAAAACTCAATAAAACCCGTAAAAACTACTAAAAGCTGGAATCTGGTTACCGGTTGAACAACTAGTTGAACAGATATATACATTTAACTTTTTTATTTTAGTTTTTCTTTACAGTTTTAGAATTTTTTTGTATTCTAAATTTTCAAATAAAATCTGATTTGTTTATCATAGTTGATGTGATTTGGTGTTAGTTTAGTTTTGTTATTGAAAATTTATTACAATGGTATTTTATTTTGATTTATTTTAGATTTGAAGTTTAATTTTATTACTGACATTATACATTTAAATATATATAAATTTTAAATTTTAAGTACAAATTATTTTTAAATAATCTAAACTATTATTTAACATTTTGTATGTCAAATAAAAATAAATATAGAAACTAGAGTTAAATATTTTATCAATGGTTTCAAAACATAAACAATAAATTTGTTCAAACTATTATTTTATGTTTTTAAAAAATTAGGAAATTTTTAACTTTATAGTTTCTATTTTTTTTATTTTCGCTAATATGTTATATATAATTAAATTAATTAATTTATTAACATGCGGTTCACCCACAGTTGTCTTATTGACCCGGTGACCTAGTAAATTGTTTGTGGGTCTGTAGATCTTAAAATCCAAACTAAGTAATTGTAGTGATCAAGAGTTTAATCTGGGGAAGACAAATGATGTGGGCAACGATGCTCTTACAACACAACGGTATAATCGGAATTCGGTTGACAAAAATGGACTTTATTGAATATGAGATTTGGTACAAAGTAGTAAACAAGATCGAAAACAACCAAGACAGATAAAAGTTAAATGTGAACTTAATAACTATGAAGTGAGGTAGATGAGAGTAGTGATTTGCTCTAGGGTTTTTTCCGTGTCTTCTATACTCCGCTTTAACTCCTTTTTATAGTCTTGTTCACTCCCAACCGTTTCCGCGATCTTCGGGATACTACTTCCACCTCGTCGTGTTCGATCGACGTCGAGCTGATGATGATCTTTCATGGGCTTGGGCTTTATTTAATTAGATACTGAAACTGGGTCCAACATTTTTTCCCCCAATCTTTTTCCTTTATTGAAGGGTAAAGATGGCCCATTCGGTCTCAATTGAAGAGAGACGGTTTGGTTTCCACAACAGAAGGGATCCGACACGTTTCACCTCCTTGTCTACGGACCGTTGGCATGTGTTGTCTATTCCTAGCGGCTACTTGCACCGCGTTCGAGGCTAAACCTAGTCATTTATCTTCTTCTTTTTAATGATAGAGCTGTTTCTGAATTCCGCAGATGTCTTTAAATACTCGAGGTTATTCTTTTTCTCTTAAATCTTTCTTTCTCTTCTCAACTCTTGCTTGTACGATTTTGATTTCTCCTTAAGCAAAGATGGCCACATCGTTTTCCTTTCCTCTTCCAACAACCACTACCGATCAACTTGAGGCTTTATACACGACATATGGCGTCGATCAAAGCCTCAAACTTGAGCTATCTCCATGCTTGAGAGCCCCGAGACCGTCCGCGACGGATTTTGCGGAGCGTATCTCTCGTTCTTTGAGTCTTGCAGCCTTTATTTTTGATTCCGGGACCAATCCCCGAGATAGTGGCCGAATTGGGTATATCTCTCACTCATATGTGTCCAAACTTCTTAAGGCACCCCTTGGCTCTCGTGATTAGAGTTCGCAAAGAAGGTTTGCGATTCGGTTTAGAGGAGCTGCGTCACTTGTGTTTGTTGAAGAGGAACAATCAAAGTTTGGGGACTTTCCTCATGTCACCGCGTGTGGGACGTCATGTTATCCAAGGGATTCCATACCGCGATCAAGATTGGCGAGAAGGATTCTTTTTCTTCAAGATTGATCGCTTGTTAGTAGGCGACTTTCATTTCCCACGAATTACTCGTCTTTGGACTGACAATATAGGTTAGTTCTGAATCTTTGGCTCTTTTATCATAAATATTATTTTTATCTTTTGATATCTGACATCTGAAGTCGTTCTATGCATCCTCAGTGCATTCCGGGAGCTCTACGATGTCGGACGAGCTCTGAGTTCTATTAAAGGCGTTACGACGAGTTCGTCTGGACTGGTCGTCTTTTGATTGCGAGCGAATTCGCACCACTTTTTGGCTACCAGACGGAGCCGATCAAGCGTCGGCTATTACCGGTGGCTCGTTCAAGCTCAAGGATTTTGGGGGACCCTCTAGTGGTTCCCCTCTTTCTGCCAGATCGAATAGACATTTGGTTAGGAGGTCATCGTTTAGGAACCGCAGATCTATCATGGAGAGTAGAGATCTCGAGGAATCGTCTTTGATCCCAATCTTGGTTTCTGATGTCGAGGGAACTCTTGGAACATGGGGATCGCCCATCTCTCTGAGTCCCGGTTCAGAGGAGGACTATGTTGCCACCGACTACAGGCGTCGACGGTTGTCGCGGTTTGTATCTCCGACGTCGTGAGGTAGTTCTTTGCTTCGAGGTCGCGATATATATGCTCCGAGCCCGTCTGTCTTTTCTTCGGCTTCTCTAAAGGAGAGGAGGCGTATGCTAAGATTGCGGATGCCAATTCTAAGGTATATTATGTTCTTCTATGCCATCTTTTAGTAAATAAACCTTGTTATCATATTCTCAAAACTTTGTAGGTTATGGTCGCGTTGATGAGTTCGCCGCGATATGCGAGAGCCACAGCGAGGGAGAGTTAGCGAGGTCGCGAGTTGAAGTGAAGAATCTCAGGGAATCCCTTCGGAAGGTTAAAGAAGACCTCAAGAAGAAGACCAGGGAAGCTGCATTCCTGAGGGATGAGTGGAAGAAGGCTTGTGAGGAGAGGATGGTGTTCGAGACCGAGGTCGCTACCCAAAAGACTAAGGTTGCAGAATTCCTTGCGGAGAAAGAGCGAGACATCCGTCGCGAGTCACGCGCTATGCGTCCCAAGATTGCTGACCGTTACAATGAATTCTTATCCCTTGTAGAGAAAAAGTGGTCGGATTAGAGGAAGGAGACCGATGCAGAGATCCAGCTACAGAAGATAATTGTGAACATCGACCTGCTCAACGAGATCACGGATGGAGGATTGGTCATTCACGATGAGTTGGCTCGCCTTAAGGAGATGGAGAAGGATCGTGAAGGTCTCGTCGAGATGGCTGCCGTTGCGGATTGGACTATCTTGGATTTGGATCTTCCCGAGGTTTCTGGTGATTCGGTGGTTGGGGAATCTTCTTCCGAGGATGGAGCTGATTCTTAGATTTTATCTTTTATTTTATCGGATACCTCGTGCTGTTTTTCTTTCTTCTTTTTTTTGTTTCTCAAAATACTTTGAATGCTTCTTGATAACCACGGATTTATGGTTTATTTTCTTCTTTGAATTTTCGAGATTTTATCCTTTTTAGTTGATATTATTCAGTTTATTTTGATTTTATAAATATCGAATTCGTTCCTTCGATCTTCGTATTTCTGAAAGTTTTTCTCTTCTTATCGTCAATCATGGAATTGAGGAAAACGAGTTCCCGTGAATCTGAAGACTTGGAGCTGGACGGATCCGTTATGGCGATGTGAGCGAATTGCTCACCGAAGTCCTTCATGAAGACCCTCGGCTCCCTCGTGTAGCGGCTCGGTCTGAAGCCAAAGACTTGGAGTAACCGAAGAAAACAACTCTTTTGAGTTGTGGTAGTCCGAATAGTTCAGAGGGGCGTGCTCGTACTCTGAAGAAAACAAAGATTTTGGGGAATGATGCTTGATCCGGTCCTGCGAATGAAGGTGTGGTCGCAAAGACGTTTCCCTGGAAATTTTCTCATGCCAAGGATTTTCTGATCACGGATGATCCCGACAGTGTTTCCCACTTGGTCAGACACTTCAAGCCGGCAGGGTGTTCTCTTCCTTCATTGCGGAATATGACGGAGCGCGACGTCTATGTAAAGATGGCGGTCGCTCATGCTAAGGTCGGTCGGTTTTACCTTTTCATCTTTGATACTTACTTTCTTATCATGTATATTCTTGATGCACCCTCAGGCTATGGAGGCTAATAACGAGTTCGTGGCGACCTTGGAAAAGCGTTTCTGGGATATTCCTCGAGCTGACGAGTTTTACTTAGTCAAAAAGGTTGTTCGGGAGCTGAAGCTCAGTTTGAAGATGGCCCAAGATAGGGAGTGTGCCAGTGTTGCTCAATTGATGGCGGTCGAGAAATTGGGAAAACATGCTTCTTCTCTTGAGGCTCTTCTTTGGGTCGTTGGGAATGAAATTGAATTGACTTTAGAGCAGGTTTCAGTGTTGGAGATGCAGATCGAATCTCTGACAATGAACTACGCGGATGAGCTTCGTCGTTTGACTTATGATGCTAAGAAGACTTTAGCTGACGGCTATCTGGAAAGCTGCATCGGAATGCAAAATTTGTTTAAACAAAGTCATGGCTAACATCAAAATCATTAAGGAGATAATGAATAACAATCTGCTTACTTCTGACGAGTTATCGCGTCTTCGAGCTAAGGAGATCAAACTTGGAGTCGAACTTGACGTGACGGCGGTATCGGATTTTTCAGTTAGGAAGTTGGATCTTCTTCTGATTTCTGAGGATTTACCTGAGGATTTTTGCTCTAAGTTCCCCCCGGTGGAGACGACTCTGGTGGTGAGCAGAGGCATAACGGGGATCGCTATGAAGATGGCGAGTTCGATGCCGACGATTATTTTTATCTTTTTGGCGATTTTAATAAGGACTTGCGAATAATAGTAGTTTGTTTGATTTCAGTTTACTGTAAGCTTGCGACCTTTTTATTTATTTTGGGGTCGTAGATCGACTTCGATAAATATCGCGTCGATAAGTTGTGTTTGAGTAATGCTTTTACTATTATGAATCGCCGTGTTTTTTAGCGGGATCCTAACTGTTTCCATATACTTGATCATGGTCTCTTCATGTAGTTAAATCGAATTGTAGAAGTGAGAATTCATCTTTGTTTATTATCAGAACTGGTTCTCCGTATACAACTTTGTATTTTTATAAAAGAAAAAGGTGTATCTATGTGGGTATGTTACTTCCTAATCCGGATTTGATCTCCTCGTGAGAAGGTTTGTGATGAGTGACTGAGCTCAGGTCGTGAGCTACCTACGTACCCTCGTCATGGGATCAAGTCTAAACGTAGTTTGATTGTTTGCCCAGTAATCCGGGTCGTATTTTTTGATTCGCTCGTGTAGATGAGTACGATTCTTGTTTTTCTTGAGGCTTCTTTTCCGGTTCTACAGATTTGGCTTGATGACTTTGTAGCTTGAAAGGTAGCTAGGAGTTCTTCTGACTTCCTTTTATGGTTTCAATTCGTCTTGGCATATGGAACTTCAAGCATTGATGGTAAGTTGATGGTATTGCTTTCATGATTTATAGCCATGGTCTCCCAAGGATGGCGTTAAATTGAGCGGGTCGATCTATGATGATAAATTCGACGATCTTTCTTACATCTCCAGCGGTCACGGCAAGCTCGATGGATCCGATAGAATATGTAGTCTCTCCTGCAAATCCCGATTAGTGGGGTTCTTTCTTGTTTGAGGAGTGTTTGGTGAATCCATCCTTTTGAATGCGTCGTAAAAGAGTACGTCTGCGGAGCTTCCGGTATCTATCATGATTCTGGATAACTCGCATCCTCCGACGTCGAGTCGTATAACGAGTGTGTTGCTATGTGGTTTATCGATATCGGCGGTTTCATTTTTGTCGAAGGTGATTTCGTGATCGGGGCCTGACAAAGGTTCTCGTATGCCGATGCTACTTTCTTCTCTTGGTTGGTGCGCTTTGATGGAGTTGACTGAGTTGCAGAATTTTGATCCTCCATAAAAGAAGTCGATTATTTTTCCCTTTTTCTGATGGTGTGCTGAGAAGTGCCAATTTTTAGTTAGAGTTGGCTGGTGGTGTCCTTGCCCCCTGGACAGGTTGGGTTTGAGTAGACGCGGGCTGTTCTTTTTCTTATGTATCGGTTTCTCCAGCAGGGGTCGAATCGTGTTGATTTTTTTGTTCTTCTTCGGCTCGTAGTGGTATCTAGTTGTTAGGTTGAGAGGAGGAGAACAAGTCTTATAGAGTTCTTCCGGGCCTTGTATCGTCATCGTGATGTCGATGCTTATTCGTTCTGCGATTTGATTTGGTATCCTTTTGCGATTGGACCCCAATAGGATCATGTCGGTTTTCTTCTTTGGGGATGGAGGTGGAGATTCAGGTGATTCAGGTTCGACTTCCCTGCTTCGTTTTCCTTTACCTTTGGTTTTGGGTCGTCGGAGTTTCTTCTTACACGTTCTCGCCGTTCTCTTTGTTTTCTTCCTTGTTGCGGAGTGCTGCTCGACATTCTTGGTTGAGTGTCCTTTTCGTTTGTAGAAGGCGCAATACTTTCTCAACTCATACGTCTATTGTTTATTTTTTGACGACAAATATATTGCGTAGGAGTGTTGTCCTTTGGTAGTATGTTCCTTCAAGTCTTAAGCTTTTTAGTTATTCCGTTCTTGTTGGCGTGGTATTGTTCTTTCACGGCGGCGATTTCTTCTTCGAGAGTTGCAAAGTAGAATGCACGATACAGCGCGTCATCTAGTTAGGTGGGAGCTCGGACCGTCATTTCTTCCCTAAACTTGGAGGAGAAACAGACGCCTTTTTTCAGAGCTGCTAATGCGAATACTTCGTTTAGGCTCAATATTTTGGATTTGAGCTCCTTGAACTTATTTATGTAAGCTCACAGCGGTTGGAAAGGTGCTTGCTTGAGGTTCCACAGGTCAACTTTGGTGGCACGTGTTTCTTTAAATAATGAATATTGCTTCAAGAATGCTGATACGAGTTGGGTGAAATCGTCGATCGAATTCACTTCGAGCTCAGTGAACCATTCTAGAGCGGGACCTGTGAGATTTTAGGCGAAGAAGCGATTTTACTTCGAGTCCAGTGAACCTTTCTTCATCATTGAGGTGCGCTCTTGATACGGCCAAATGGTAGGCTCGCACGTGTGCTTTCGGGTCGGAGTTACCTGAATATTCAGGCAATTTAATCATACCGACTTCGTGTAGCCTTACACTGGTTATTCGATTTGTGAATGGAGTTCGGCGAGTCTCCTCAATAACTTGATCGATATCGGGGGCTGAACTTGTTGCCATATGTACGATGGCATGTATCCTTTTGAGTTTTGCGTCATTCTTTTCGACATAGCTTCTGAATGCTCCTGCTTGACTCGAGGATCTTTGATCTTCTCCCTGTGAATTTTCGTGCAACAGCCTAAAAGAGTCATATGCCGGGATGGGATCTAGCGGCGTCGTGAATCCTGTTCGCTGAGGTGTGTCTCCTCCAAAGGAGAATCGATCTTCTCAAACTCGATGTTGGAGCGGAGATATTCGGACTCTAGGTTCCTCACGTCCTTCAGCTGGTCTGCTTCGAATTTGGATCGGGGTTGTTCTGAGGCATTGTATTTCATTTTTGACCTCATCTTAACCGTTATAATCCAGACTTTGATAGATCGTTCCTTCCGGGGGGCTGTTGCTAATTTCCCTTGCGTAGCGTCCCGATCGGGCGCTGGTCAGCTCGGGGGAGGCGAAGGCTCTGCGCTTGTAAGGGAGTGGTGTTTGCAGGGATGGATCCGAGTGTTTTCGGACTCTTTCCCTGGGATTCGCTCGATGTTCAGCGAGTTCCCTCTCGGTTTGTTCCAGGCGGTTACCGATGGTTCGGTAAGCGATCTCTTGGTCGCGAGATTTATCAATAAGCGTTGAAAAAATTCCCCTGAGTTCCCCAACTTCTTCTCGAGTTCGGGTTAAGTGGGTTGGAGATCTCGGTCTCCCTGGCTGGGTCGGATCCTCGGGCATTGTTTTCTCCGCCATACGGTTCCAAACTCGAGATCCGATTCGATCGGTGAGAAGGTTTCGATCTGAGACTCTACTCCTATCGACGATCGAAATCCCAGTAGATGGAGTTTGTTGATTTTGGATCGCTTCGGTTGCTTCGCCGACGTTCGTTTCATCGATGGAGGCCGGCTCGGCTTCTAGGGTGGTTCCAGCGGGATCAACATCAATCTATCTCGATCGGGAGTTCTCGACGTTGATTGCGTTGGGATCCATAATCGTGCTAAGAGATCCTAGATTGGGTTCTTAGCAAGGGCGTTTTTCGTTTATCTTTCCCACAGTCAGCGCCAAAATGTAGATACTAAAATTCACACTAACTATTTTTTAGTGATCAAGAGTTTAATCTGGGGAAGAAAATGATGTGGGCAACGATGCTCTTAAAACACAACGATATAGTTGGAATCCGGTTGACAAAAATGGACTTTATTAAATATGAGATTTGGTACAAAGTAAGAAACAAGATCGAGAACAACCAAGAAAGTTTAAAGTTAAATGCGAACTTAATAACTATGAAATGAGGTCAATGAGAGTAGTGATTTTCTCTAGAGCTTTTCCGTGTCTTCTATACTCCTCTTTAGATTCTTTTTATAGTATTCTTCTCTCCCAACCGTTTCCGTGATTTTCGAGATACTACTTTGACCTCGTCGTGTTCGATCAGCGTCGAACTGATGATGATCTTTCATGAACTTGGGCTTTATTTAATTAGATAATGAAATTGGGTCCAACAGGTTCCTAGAACTCACTGAGTAATCTAATACTCACCCTTAGGTTGGCGGATACATTAGAAGAAGTTTAGGAATAGGACTCTGTATGATGTCACCTTTTGGAATTATTTCATTTCAGACTTAAGATTCTTAAGACATGTTGCTTTATTCGTGTTTTCAGTGCTAAGATAAGAATTTGGTTTTGAAATAAAAGAAGTGTTAGTTTGGAACTGTGTTGTGTCATCGTGGGAAGTGAGATCTTTGGAACCGTTGACGGGACATGGTCGCTTCACATGTCTAAAACGCTGCGCTCTGAGAGTTTTTATAATGATGTTTTGCGTTACCATTGAATAGTGTATCCGGTTTAGTAGTTCGTTTCAGTTAATTGGTAAAGCTAATTTATATCAACTTTTTTGTTTTCTCAAGTTTTGTTTGAGTTAGATGCACATAATTAATTTTATATTGTTGCAGGGAAAGGTCCAGGGTTGCATATCTGGGGTAAAATCATTTGCAGAAGTTGTTGCTCCGCTTTTATATAGTCCATTGACTGGTAGGTGAACACATTATGATCGATTTTGAGCACCAATAGTACTAAGTTCTGAAACGTTCAACTGATATATAGTCTGATTTTATATAGCGCTGTTTCTCTCCAACGATGCACCGTTCTATTTCCCTGGATTTAGCCTTTTATGCATCTCCTTATCTTGGGTATTCAATACACTTGCAACCATTTCATTTATATTACTTCACAACTATGTGTTATATATTAATCAGGCATGACTAACTGTTCTTCTCAGATGATCGGATTCCTTCAGAGTATTCTCATAAAAGATGTTCCCACTTCGACATTGAACAATGAAATCAGGAACAATTCAAACCAGGGCCGTGCCTCACTTTCTTTAGATTAAAATCAGGAGAAAAATTTCGCCCCTTAATTTATCCATGTCTGTTCTCCGTTGTCCTTTGATTAAATCTTGATTATGGTATTTACTTTTTTTTTATAATCGTAACTTTTACTCAAACAAAAAAACGCACACAAAGTGCTGCAAAGTTGACCGAACATACATGTTAATAAAGGTTTTATTTGTCTTAGTAATACTTAAGAAACTCAATACTCCAAATTTTCTTTTTTGTACATTGTAAAACCTAATATTCTAGAAGTCCAAACAAAGACAATTTCAACAATAAATATCCAAGGACGATAGTATCATACTATTATTTGAGAATACGATTAAGTGAAAACGTTATACTTTGATTAGTTCAATATCTCCCAGTGGTGATTCAGCTATTTCACAATGGTGACATGACATTAATCAATAATTCTTTCTCATCCATTTTTAATTTTGTGGGATTAACTTCCCTAAAACGTTTTAAATTAACGCTTTAAATCAATCTCGGTTTTTCTTTAATATATTTTCTGGTTATACTAATCAAAACTCTCTCGGTTAGTATCCTCTAATCTCGGTTTGATCAGTAACTATTGAATGGTCTCGAATCAGAATTCCTTTAAACGTTATTGTATATGGTTGGTTACGCAAAATTACATAATATATGAATCATTCGTGAAACATATATGTTTATGTTAAATTTAGACGGGTTTATGTTTTTGACAGTACACATTTTATGTTGTTTAGGGTTTATTGTTTAGAGTTTAGGGTTTCGTGTTCCATATGGTAAGGTTTTAATATATAGTGAATATGTATATGATATGATGTTCCATGCAAGATGTATATTATGTCTTCTAGATTTTTTTTTTTAATTATTTTCTTTGGTTGACTGATAGCACGAATAATATGAAATTATGTTTTCATATTGTTTCCAGAAATCAGGCGATTAAATATTTTAAAGAAGAAAATTCGGCAGATAAGAAATGCTATACACGAATATTCCTATAATATATTTGAAACTTTTGTTAAATTTAGTTTAAAACTATTAATTGATTTTTCTCTAGGAAGTTTCACCTTCTAAATATTTCTTATACAGTGAATCGAGGCCCTTTTCAACAGAGTATATTTTTAAAAATTTTCCCTATGCATATGTATTTATATAGTTTTCTTTTTACATAGTTAATCAAGACCCCTTCCTAACTACTCTTTGTTGTTTTATATTCTTCATTCATGTACTAGTCATTTATCTAATGTCGGTGATTGTCATTTTTTGAATACCAAACAAGTGAGAAAGAAATATATAATAAAGTGAGTTTTTTGTTAATGTTTAATCTACACTCAATTATTCCTTACTAAAGATTATGTATACTGAATCGATATCCCTTGCTAATTACTTTGTTTATTTGCATGCTCTCCATTCCTTTACTAATCATCCATATCTGAGGCAGATGAAACTTGAATACACTGAATACAAAACGATAGAAAAGACAATTGATAATGACGTGAGTTCTGTTACCTTCTAATAGATAATTGATATTTTGATCTATACTCAATAATTCCTTACTAACAATTGTGTCTACTGAATCAATATCCTTTGCTAATTACTTTCTTTATTTAAATACTCTCCATTCATTTACTAATCATCCATATCTGACGCAGATGAAACTTGACTACATTGAATACAAAACGATGGAGAAGACAATTGATAATGATGTGAGTTCTCTTACCTTTTAATAGATAAAGATTGAAGTTGTTTCTTCTCAAGAAAGTTTAACCTTCTAAATATTTTCCTATATAATGAATCGAGATCGCTTCCTTCGTGAATATGTAGTTATCATGTTTGTAAAATGTTGCATAAGCAAATGAAGCACGGTGTCCGTATATAAATACCTTCAAAAGT